ATAGCCTGTGACTTTGGTTTGATTTTTGAAACGATGCTGCCATCTAGTGAAAAACCGAGAGAGAGAGAGAGAGAGAGAGAGAGAGAGAGAGAGAGAGAGAGAGATTGACCTCCAGCCCCACTAGTGACAGGATTAACATGTTGTAAGTGCCCAGCAGAGCCCGGAGGCCAGTTGGTACCTGAGGTTGTCTAGGTCACTGCTGCCCACACTATTTGCGCTGAAAAGCTAGTTTTAGAATTTCCAACCCATTGTAGACCAATAATCATGTACAGTACAATAAAAATGAGTAACTTGGAAAATGAAATGAAAAAGACATAAAATACAAATCCATTTAAAAATTATTATATGCAACAGCATAGAATTGTTATATAAGATTACAATTGTTATATAAATTATACAAGAAAAGAAACAGATAATGAAAAACTAAGTGGAGATAGAGGTGATTGAGGTTCAACTAAATTCCAGCTCATTCATTTGTAGTTGCTTGAAATGTTTCGATGTAGTTGTAAAAAGTTAGGTTTGCTTTTTTTTTTTTTAAACAGATAAATAATTCATCAAAAAATTCTTCAATTATTTCAATTGTTTCTAAAGAAGTCCAGATTTTAACATCTAATACCGATAATTTAAATCGTAAGAACATCACTTCTGCTACTAAAGTGGTTGGACAGATCTTCAACTCATCCAGAAATGCATCACCTGAGGTAAAACTCACAAGGTTTTTTAAAAAGGGAGGGGAAGAAAGAAAGAAACGCACCCCACACCTTACCCCTTATCCAGGATGCGGACGTGGGCATGATTGAGGTTGCTCAGAACCATTTTGCAGGGGACTCTTTCTGAGAGATGCTCAAAGAAATAAAGGGCTCTTTGTCCAAATATTCTCTTTGCGGGTCGTCACAACGATCGTTACCATGTTAAATCCGGAAAGCCTGTAGCAAACAGCTCTGTTTCATCTTATTAATATGTTTACCAACTGCACTTGGCCTCAGCATCCCTATTCAACTCCAAGTAACTGATGAAATGGTCTTCCAAGGAACTCACTTTGGAACATGATGTCTTAAACCGATCTCTTCCTGCTAAGCATATTTGCATTTCAGTTTTAGCTTTTAAAAAACTTTGGCCTAGTTTACATTTCTGATATTATAAACTGCTAACCTCTGGTACCTGAAGACAGGAACTATAGTCAACATTTATCAATTGGCACAGCTTGGGTACTGGTCAAACAAGCTATAAGCCACCAAAATGCACTGACCCAGTGTTTACCAGTTGAATATCGGCATGACCTGAAAATATCTATTCCTTTCTTCTCTTCTCTTTAAATGTTTTATTTCAAAAAATTATTTTATGTTATCCTAGCTCCTTTAGAAATTAAGGGAGATTAAAATCACAAGTTAATAAAAATGGAATTGAAAAAAATTGACCACCAAATATAGAATTTGTGGAAGGATTAGCCAGTAAAGACAGAAGGATATTAATAACCCAGAAGAGGTCAGTTAAACAGTAACCAAATGTCCAGATATCCTTTCAATGTACTCCTGATGTTTTAATTGTAAGAAAACTAGAAATAATTTTACTAACTCTAATAGGTACACTAGGTGTAACTAGTAAGTTATATTAAATATTGTAAGCTGTGATGTTCTGACAATTAAAGCCCTGCACTCTTCTTAGTTTGTGTCAACATTGATCAGCTGCCTCCTGCCCACTCCCTGTGGGGATTTGCCCGCAACCAAGGTACATGCCCTTGACCGGAATCGAACCTGGGACCCTTAAGTCCTCAGGCCAATGCTCTACCCACTGAGCCAAACGGGTTAGGGCTGTGTCTGCATTTGTATCCAAGCATCGGCTTTTGTGTTCTTGGGGATGAGGTGGAGGTTCTGTGAAGACCTTGCTCTGAGGTCAAATTCAGAGACCTAAGCCTTCTAATTGACTGCCTTAATTTATATTTTCACTATGCCTTATCTTTATTGCCATCTTCTGTAGATAAAAAACAGCCTTCAGTTCCACTTGATACCATAATAATCCATGATAATGAAGGTCATGATGATGTCCTTATGATGACTGGTGTCTTCCTCCTGGCAGGCAAAAAGAGTTGCTGTCACAACAGTGAGTCAACTTCTAAATGCCAGTGAAAACATTTTTCGAGAAGCTGCTGATGACGATGAAAAGGCCTTTTCAACGTAAGCACAATTCCAATTTGGAAAGAAAAACCTGACAAAGTGCTGTTTACTTTCATAGGTTAAAGCATTAATAGAAATGTCTTTATTTCTGTCATGGATGCGCTCACTGGCTGATTCCTATGGGATGCAGACTAAAACCTTGGCCTTCTACTGATCATCAGTGACTAGATGGAGTTAACTCCTGGTTCCAGGTGTGGCCATGGATAGGGAGTAACTGGGATGATTTAGATTAGAACTTGTTTTACTAGCCTTAGTTTGGTATGCCCAGCTGGCAGCCAGCATGCACAGCAGGAGCTCCTCATGCTCTTTTCTCAGTTTACAGAGCTGCAAATAACAGCATAACTTTGTAAGACACATTGGTGGCCTACCAACCACAACTCAGCGCTCCCCAAGATCCTGGTGTATTTTGATTAAACGTTTCCATGGTTACATTGAACAACAAAAGGGATCCAACTCTACACCTGATTTCTTTCTTCTTGACTCCTATGTTCTGGATTTCTTTTGGATGTATATTTAAACTGAAACTCATGTACTTTATTCATAGAGGCCTCCCATTAGGATTCACTGTGTGTGTGTTTTATCATATATATAGTCTTCTTAACTCTTTTAAAATTTAAGTAAATACGCATGCTCATTATGGAAAAATAAAAAATATATAGATGAGAAAATTTTTAAAAAATCATTCTGCCTTTATTAACCTGTTGGTATATATTCTTATAAAATTTTTTTCTCTGTATGTGCATTACATTACATAATCTATTGGTTTAAAACTTGTTTTTTGTCACTTAATAATAGTATATAAACATTTTTATATAAATATCTATACATCCACATCATAAATTTTAGATTATTGCATAAATGAGTGAATTTTTTATTTAAGAAGTTCTCTGCCACTGGACATTTAGATTCCTTTAAGTGTTTTAATATTTTCAACAATCAACATTCTTGTACATAACCTTTGTTTGCATGAGACATTATTTTGTTGGGAGAAATTCCTACAGATAATTCTCAATTTTCTCATTATTATAACCAGTACCTGTGTTACAGAAGACCAAAGAAATACCAACCACACTTCCTAGAGAAAGGGAGGGACCTCCTTTATTAACACTAGTGCAGTGGTTGGCAAACTCATTAGTCAACAGAGCCAAATATCAACAGTACAATGATTGAAATTTCTTTTGAGAGTCAAATTTTTTAAACTTAAACTATATAGGTAGGTATATTGTTATTAACTTAATTAGGGTACTCCTAAGCTGGCCTTTGCTAAAAATATCCTCAATCTGATTGAGGTACATTCGATGAGGTCAACCCCTTCCAACTCTCCCATCCACACTTGTCTTGTATACTCGTTTTGTCTATCTCCACATCTTCTTTCACTCCACAACGTTCCCTAACATTAACTTAATAAATTTACTTAAAGTTTTAAGTCTTAGTTAAACTATAGGTACATTGAATAAAACTTGATATCATACTTAATAACAATATTATTTATTGATAAAATTAAATTTTTTACAATTTACCTTACAGTATCCATAAAATTAAATCATGACAATGACTGACAAACACTAATGTGAACAAATGGCCTTGCATCTCCTTGGAAAGTTTGGGTAAGTCAGGTTTGTACGTTGTTGTTTTTAATTTTAGGCACGATACCAGGTTCTCATCAATAAGACAACTTCTCAATTTACTCTTGATAAGGTTCATAGTTGAAAATGATTGTTCACATAAATATGTAGACCTGAAAGAGGAAAGAATAGCAAACGCTAGTTCTTTCAGTTGATTATATGAGTCAGGAATACTATTCCAGGTGTTAAAAATCAACATATCTTCCTTCTCCAGGTCTTTCAAAGCAGACCACTTGTGCTGTGAACTAAGTTCACATTTGTTTTTCTCCAATATTCCTATATCAGCACAAAGACGTTCAAATTTCGAGCTCCACAGTTCTATGTTTTTTAAATCCAGCAATTGCATTTCAAAGTTGCCAATGTCAATATTAAAGGGAGAAAAATTTAATTCTGTTACAGTAGCATTGAGAGGTTTTTTTTAACAAAGGCTAACGTTGCTTTGCTGTTTCTGAATTCCTGAAACCTGTTGAGAAAAGCTTACCTCATATTTAAAATACCGCATGTGGTATTTTGTGGAAGAGCCACACTCAAGGGGCCAAAGAGCTGCATGTGGCTCGTGAGCCGTGGTTTGCCGACCACTGCACTAGTGGACTCCGGGAATAATTTCCAAATCAGAGTGAAGAAACTTGCAGAGAGCCTGTCTGTATATATCCCGCAGGGGTCTTTGTCTGCAGATACGCCCCCTACCCCCTTCATGGCCCTGCAGGAAGGCCCCCAGGTGTCAGGCCACATCAGATGATCTGTCCTGGGGCCAGCGATAACAACCCCACCCACTCCCGCCAAGGGCAGTGCATTGTTCACAGTTTTTATGACCTGACGCACCTTGCAAGACCAGTTTCTTCACCTGTTGAGTCTTTAAAGTAGAAAAAGCACAAAAGCATGAAATAGAACATTCAAAATATTATAATTCTGAGAGAGGATGGTGAAGGTTGTGCAAACAGATTAATTGGTGTGTTGTATGACTTCAAATTTCTAGGAGTGTGGTTACTCCCTTTTTTAAAAAAAAATCCTTACCTGAGGATATTTTTCCATTGATTTTTAGAGAGAGTGGAAACGAGAGAGAGAGAGAGAGAGAGAGAGAGAGAGAGAGAGAGAGAGGAGAG